TTTTTTGAAAAATGCAAGTGTAATTTTATATTATAAATCAGTGAAGCAACACAACACCTATGCAATAGAATATCTCATTCATAACATTCATAACATAGGGGAAAAGTCCCAAACAAACAATACTCTAAGCAGTCCATTTCAATCACAAAAAATGTCAACAAAGTCCCTAGTCCATGATATATCAAAAAAGTTCTCCAAACTGTGTCAAAGAAGTCCAACGTGGTTTCTGGATATAATCAGTACACACGTTTCAAGGTTCCTTTTTCAAGAAAATATATAGTCACTAGTTAGTTTCGTAACACTTTATCTTTGGGCATGATTATTCAAAAGCCCTTCTGTTACATTCACAAAAAGAAAAGCTTACAATTTTTTAAAAATTGAATGCATCTCCAATGTTAATCTAGCTTGAAAAGCACCTCCAACTTTGGTGAGCAAGCTGTGTCCTTTCGGGGGTGTGGGTGGTTATTCATGCCCTGGTCATACCGTGTCTGGATTCCTGTAGCACTTTCTGTGTGAAGCTGTTTTTGAAAACCTCTTGGAGGTCTAAATCAGTCTGTTGTGGCATGAGTCTTAACAGTTATGCTCCAGTGGTCATATCGCACCTGTGTTAAAAAGGCTGCTAGCTTTTCCCAAGCTCTAGTTAGTGCACCTGTTTTGATCTTTCAGACCGTGTTGCGTCTGAGCCCTGTGTCTTATTTTATTTCAAGTTATTCAATTATTTAAAATGTGTATATACCAGCCTTTCTCCTGAGCATCCCAGGTGCCAATTTGGTATAGTGGTTAAGTGCACGGACTCCAATCCGGGAGAACCAGGTTTGATTCCCCACTCCTCCACCTGTAGCTGCTGGACGACCTTGGGCAAGCCATAGTTCTGTCAGAGCTGTTCTCTCATGAGCAGTTCTCAAAAGAGCTCCCTCAACCCCATCTACCTCACCGGGTGTCTGTTGTGGGTAGGGGAAGGGAAAGGAGATTGTAAGATTCTCTGTGACTCCTTTGGGTAGTGAAGGGTGGGGTATAAATCCAGTCTCCTCTTCTTCTGAAGGAGGATTTCCGCTTGTGGATGCCTATCTCTAGGTTCCCCTTCTAACCTTCTGAAGTGAGACAGGACTAAGCCCTTCTTAGTGGCACCACATTTCTACTGCACGGGGTTGAACACACATTCCTTAGATACAAGCCTATGTGAATATAGTTCTGCTCCCTAGAGCACTCATTCACAAAATTGTCCACAGGAAGTCATTGTGGAGCGTTCGCATCTCGTCCACAGCCTGTTACTATACTCTGTCTATACTACGTTGACACCAGCTGAAGTAAAAGGTCCTTGGGAGCAGAGCTCATACAAGGTCCCCCAGATCCAAGAGGAAGAAGAAGAGGAGGAGATTGGATTTACACCCTGCCCTTCACTAGCAGAAGGAGTCTCAGAGCGGCTTACAAACTCCTTTCCCTTCCCCTCCCCACAACAGACACCCTGTGCGGTAGGTGGGGCTGAGAGAGCTCTTTTGAGAACTGCTCGTGAAAGAAGAGCTCTGAAAGAACTTGTGACTTGACCCAAGGTCACAGCAGCTGCTGCAGGTGGCAGAGTGGGAGATCAATCACGGTTCTCCCAGATTAGAGTCCAAGATCCTAACCACTACACCAAACTGGCTCTGTAAAATACCAGTCTAGCTCTCTAAAATCTAAAATACCAAGTTAAGCAAGCACAGTGACTCACATGCCATCAATAATGATCCTCGATGGGGTTGTGAAGCACCACAGAAAGTTTTGTGAGGATTTCAGGAACTCACAGAGACCCCTAAATAGAGCACAGTCTGGTTTAGCATGTTTATTTCATTTTATAGGTAGTAAACTTCTGAAAACACCCGTTATTAATTTTATGGCCTGGCAACAGCAAAAACTTTGGTTGAAGTACCTGAATGGGAGAAAATAAATCTAGTTCTGTTTTATATGGTATATTCAAACATTCAAAACTTTGTAGAAGTTATTTTTATTGGAATAATTTTGGGCTATATGTCAAGGTACTTATAGCATGAACTTTCCTTACACTGTTGACATTTTTTAAAAACCCTTGAAGGTGCTGAAAACTGTTTATGCACTAATTTAAGCACATCCAAAGAACCGTTCATTCTATGGCACGGATGCAGTTGCCTACGAATCTGTTGCAGCCGAATTTTACTGTCTTCCACGGAGGTGGCGAGAGCTCCTGAATTTCATTTTCACCCTCCATAGCATCACTTGTATTACTTTTTAGTTCCTTATCAGATTAGTGATTGCAATATCTTTTCTGCCATGTGAGAGGAGTCATATATAATATATAATATTTTAGCTACAAATCTATCAGAACCCATCAAGATTCAGTTTTGATTTGACCTGCAGAACCAATTGGGTGAATTAATCACTTGATTTTGAAAAAATTGGGTTATTATGTGTATTGTGGTTTATTTTCCTCTTCTTTTTTTTTCCGATTCACAAAATTGGTGAAACATACCTGAATTCTTTTACACCATTCCTAGAAATAATTTCCTGAAAAACGTTAATTACGTCACTTTAGTCCAGAAAAGTCAGTATAGCACGTTGACTTTTAGACAAAATAATGAGTTAAAATATAAGGAAACAAAATATTGTTCCCGATTTAAAAGGAAAAAGAGATGTATAATTACAATTACACTAATTACAACTTTGAAGCTGCCAAAGAACAGATTGCAATGGCATCCATTCATTGTTGTTAATTTTATGCAACAATAAATCTTCAGAATAATAAAGCGCTGAGAGTTTTCTGCTATATTCTTAACTGATGTGGTTTTAGTTTTATGATACTTGATTAATTTTAAAGTATTTAATGCTAAATAATAACTATGGTGCTATTCCTTTTACTTAAGTTGGTTAGTACTCTAACATGCTGCCATAATTGGAGGTAGGGCTTGCAAAAATAGTGCAAGAACGTTAATGAGACGTTACAACTATTGTAAAAATACCATATTCACATTTATATGATAAGATAAATGGTCTGAATTACCTGAAACCACAGGAAAATTAGTTTAACGTCAGAGAAGGGGCATTTAAAACTCTGCCCCTTCTTGCTTTTTAGCTAGTTTCCTTGTTAAATTAGGAAATAGTGACTGGTCCATACTCTGCCCCAGCTCCTCTCAATTTCTACCTGGATCCTTTTACTTTCCCCACACATTAACAAAATAATACATTATGACTGATCTACAGTGCCTACCAATGTCAGATACCTTTTAAAAAAGCCTTTAGTCTTTCTTGCAAGCAATCCCTGAGTTCTTTTATAGAAGTGTGAAAGTGTACAAATTGGTCAAGATAAATTACAGTGTGATAACAAATATTAGATGTACCATCTAAGATAAAACAGCCTAAACACAAGGGGGAGAAAGTTATACAAGGTCTAAATTGTTTGAAATATGTGTGTTGCAAAGTCTAAATTCAGTCATTATAGGGTCAATGTGTTTACCTTGTGTGCTATTGTTTAGCCTGACCTGGAAGGGAACATGGCACAAAGCCAATGGGGAGAAAGCCCGGGAAACTGGAGTCTGTTTACTCACAATCGTTGGTTAATGCATTCAGGTGATTTCCTTCTAGGGTCAAGAAGAAAGAAGAATCTCCATTACCAACTTACCCACTTGTCTGTCTGTTGTTGCAAGCATGTACTCTTAAGTGTTTGTTGTTTTGTAGATTTCCCGTGTACCTTTCCCTTTAGAAATAAAGATTTTTTACACAGAAAGAAAAAGACTCTTCTCCAGTGGACAAAGATCCATTGCAACCTCTGAATATTTGACTACTTTAACCAAATTTTCCGACATAAATCAGCCTAGTTATTCACATTAGAAATTATTTGAAACACTTAGATAATCATACAGTTTGAAGTATCTATATAGCACATGTCTTTCACATTGCTCACAGACTAGTGTTGGCTGTGGTGGCCAAGCTGAAGATTGGTCATCATAATTCCCCTGCACGTTCTTCTCTCTTCTCTCTGCCTCTGTATAAATCATCTGCTGCACCTTCAAGCCAACAACACTGTAGCCCTGTTTCACAAGTTACATTCAGCGCATGTACAATCAGTGTACACTTGATTGCTCTTTAGACATGCGTTGCGTAGTTCCTGTATTACGTTCAATGCATATGGAGCTGGACATGTGATTTAAACCCGTTTATCCAGGTACTGATCCCCATTTTTGTTTGTAAAGCGAACGTGGATCAGGAAACACTTCTCATGGACAAAGCTTGTGGTCAAGAAGACCAAGGTCTGAGTCTGAAAAGGAGACAGAATGCTAGAACTCAAGGACATCCAATGAAGCTGATGGGCAGTAGGTTCAGGAGGGACAAAAGGAAATAGTAGTTTAAACAGAGAGTGATTAAAATGTGGAATTTGCTGCTAGAGGATGGAGTGATGGCCACAGGAATAAAGAGCTTTAAAGGGGGACTAGATAGATTCATGGAGGATAAGTCTATCAATGGCTACTAGGCATGGTGACTGAGAAGAACCTTCACATTCAGAGGCACTAACCCTCTGAATCCCAGAGCCAGGAGGCAACATCAGGGGAAGGCCTCAGCCTCTGTGTCCTGTAGTTGGCCCTCCAGAGGAACTGGTTGTCCAATGTGTGAGACAGGATGCTGGAATAGATGGACCCCTGGTCTGATCCAGCAGGGCTCTTCTGAGGTTCTTATCAGGGGAAGGCCTCAGCCTCTGTGCCCTGTTGTTGGCCCTCCAGAGGAACTGGTTGGCCCTTGTGTGAGACAGGATGCTGGACTAGATGGACCACAGCAGGGCTCTTCTGATGTTCTTAAAGTGAAGCAGTTTTGTGGGTTTCTTGGAGACATCTTGTTGACTAGTATAGAAACATAGCTTATCTAGTGTGTGCAAGCTCCATTTTGATTATAAACTCATGGGAAACTGGTACTGCACATTGTCCTTCTGCTTTATGGATGAATGCCTATGAAGGAACTTATATTATTTTTTAATTTCCCCTTTATTGTCTTCCTTGTAGAAACAACTGTAGACTGAGTCAGATGTCTGTCTTTCTTTCTGACATGCACCTGTGGTCTTTGAAGAGCACCTTACGTTTCGAAGGTAAAGAAGTTATTGATGAATTTCCACTTTTTAAAAAACAAATTGAATATTGATATAGTTTGGTTAAAATGAGCATGTATCGTGCTTTTAAAAGGGGAAACAAAATTCTACGAGGGCTTCTTCCCACCCACTGTCGCTTTCTGTTTCTAAACTACCAGCCTCTTTCCTGCACTGGTTTCGGAACGGTTTAACTTTCAGGTGGAGAGAAAAACATTCTTTTAAGAGCCATCCCTTGGAATACCTGTCTCTGCAAAGCCTGGGGCTGTAACATGAGAGCATGAGAAAGGACGTGAGCAAATTGCAAACCTTGTGCCGTAATGCTCATTCCTGACTTACCACAGCTATGCATCATTGGCCTTTGCATTATTATTTTGCAGTGGCAGCATGTTCACGTGCCCACAGTCTTTCACTACGCGTGTGCAAGTTACTTTACTTTGACAAGCCTTTATTGGCATATGTATATACGTATAATAGGAGACCATATTAAATATTGATTTGAAAATACAAATCCATATAGGGTAACATTGGAGCTACGGCGCAGAAAAAACAGCATAAAAGCAGAAAAACCTAGTGGTTACTTATCAGAACGTATAGCCATGGCATTAAGAAGAAACCTTGCTACTATTTCAGTACAAAATCCATGTAGGGTAAAATTGGAGCTACGGCGCAGAAAAAACAGCATAAAAGCAGAAAAACCTAGTGGTTACTTATCAGAATGTATAGCCATGGCACTAAGAAGAAACCTTGCTACTATTTCAGTTATCTCCATATCTTGATTCTCAAGCAAAAACAGAACCTTAAAATCGTCAGGAATCTCTGGGAATTGAGCTAATGTAGGGTACAGAAGATTCTGGCGAGGCACCAAATAAAAGGGACATTGAAGGAGAACACGGGGGACGGCTTCAACACAGTCCTTCCTACGAGGACAGCACCTGCTGGAGTAGGGGATCCCCTGGAATCTGCCAGAGAGGAGAGCAGAAGGAAGGACATTAAATCTGGCCAAGGAGATGGCTCCGTGCAAATTTGGACATGTGCAAGTTGCTAACTGGCGTTTCGCCCGACGACTGTGGAAAGAACCTTGCAGATGTCTCAACTGAAGAAACATTTTTAGCTTTTAGTTCTGTGTAGACCGCACACCCTGAAGTTAATCGCTAGCGTTCGTACGATTGCATGCAGCGATTCTTAAATCTATCCATGAAATGTTTTCCAAGCGCACAGTGAAGTTTGTTCGATTTCATTTGTCAGAATCCTAATGCGGTGTTCTGTTTCCTTAACGATACAGACCGAGACATTGGGATCTACCATTATTATGACAGGAAAGAGCCAGGTAAGTTATAAATGTTTATGATGATCAAGAATATATACTGTTGAATTGTTCCCCTTCAGAAATGGGTTTTTTTAGCTGCCAAAACTGTATAAAAAACATCTTCTCCTGAACTTCTCCAATATGAAAATTTAGCAAGACTTTATTGTATCATGCTAAGCAACCTTAATTTCTCTACACTTAACTATAGTACAATCGTGAGCTAAAATTATTTTTATGCACTGGGCTAACAAAAACAAACAAAAAAATCCTTTCGGAGTTTTAAACTTCCTCATATGAGGACGCAGGACTTGAAACATAATGTGATATTTCAGACTGATATAGGGTATGCCAGTTATTTTTCATTTATTGGAGTTCCAGCAGAGGGCATTGTAAATTCACGGGAGTGCACCGGTGTCGGCCTCCGGGATCCTCCTCACCTATTTGAAATAGGCATTTCAGAGTGAATGATCAATTTTCTATTATCTGATTAATCCTTTTAATCCTGGAAGATTCAGGATGGGCCAAAAGGTCTTTTCAGCTAGAATTACTTCCTGTTTCAGGCCAGGTTAAAGTGGCATCTTCTGAGGGCATCCCGTGCGGTTCACTTGAGGCTTTTAATATGCTGCCTCCACAATTCTGTTGACAGACTGACTCAGCTTCTGGTCTGGATTTAGTCGCAGTTCACTTCGCTGACTGATTAGGCTAAAACTTCTATAAAGTTGGCCCACCTGTTCGGAATGCTTAAGGTTTTCTTTTTTTCTTTTTGCCGCAAAGTTCAGGCATCTGTCCCTGCGGGGGAAGACTTCAGAACTTGTTCTTCCTTCCATACTTTTATATTTTCTAAGCTTTTTTTTGAGGTGTTTTAACGCTTTGCTTCCTAAGATTTTAACTTTCCCTCCCCTCTTTTCAGAATCACAAATAAACCCAGGCTACCTACAGCAGAAGCAACAGTTGGCGCAATGTAAGGACTGTTTTCAGTTTTCCTCATAGATGTACATATCTTCGACGCAAACTATACACGTCATGTTCAGCCGTTTCTCTAGCTTCCTCTCCCCTCCCCGACTTAAAAAAAAAATTAACCTCAAGTGAGAATTTGGGCTCCGGGCTTGAGTTGGAGGCAAAGGTAGGGGAGGGGCTGCTTCACAGGTCATGTTCTCAGCATTTCTTCCCTCAAGCTGCTTGTGGCCTCACTAGGGGGAGGGGGAAAGGTACCGGTATCCGTTACTTTTCTCCCAAGGAGTCTAACAGTGCCATTCTCTATAGAATCACACTGTTCTAAGTCCATTGGCTCTGACCTGGATAGCCCAGGCTACCCTGATGTCATCAGGGCCGGCTCACCCACTAGGCGAACTAGGCATTCGCCTAGAGCACCGGGCCCTGGATGGGGCGCCAAGCTGTGCCTCCCCCCTCCTCCCCCTTTTGGTGGTGGCAGGGGGGAAGAGGCGGTGGTGGCGGCAGCAAAAGGGTGGCTGGCTCCAGAGGTCTCCAGGTCTCCAGGCCCCACTGGGAGGTTGGCATCGGCGCCACAAGGCAGCCTCGCCTAGGGCGCAGAAGCACCTCAAGCCAGCCCTGGATGTCATCAGATCTCGGAAGCCACCCAGGGTCCGGTCGGTACTTGGGCGGGAGACCACCAAGGAATTCCAGGCTTGCTACACAGAGACCGGCAATGGCAAACCGCCTCTGAGCATCTCTCGCCTTGATAATCTTATGGGATCGCCATCACTTGGCTGCAATGCTCCCTCTACGTTGTGGAGCCTTGTGAGCAAAAATTCTGCTTTGTTGGGCTGCTGGCATTAACGTTGTGAGCGAGCGATTTGGCTGCTGCATAAATCCTGAGCTAAGACAAACGTATGTGAGCCGGAAGCGAAAAAATTGTGAGCTAGCTCACACTAACTCAGCTTAGAGAGAACACTGGCTTGGCTGCAACTTGATGACAAAAAAATAAAATAAAATAAAAACAAACCCATTGACTTCTATGGAATGAGAAGGGTGCACATCGGCTTCAGAGGACACTGTAAAGCACCTCGAGTGCAGGCGGTTTCCTGAATTTCGAAATGGCCAGGAGTGAAATGGTTAAGCACCTCCCACTTAACCATCCCCATTCCCTGCTGACCCCCCTCAGTTCAAGACCGCAGCTCCTGTGCCTGCTCTTGGCTCGAAGGAATTACTAGCCGTGGAAGGATGGATGGAGCTTAGTTTGGCCCTTTGAAACCAAAAAGGGTTCAAAGCCACCTCTCTGCACCATGTCATTGCCGCGGAGACAGCATTCAGCTCCAAAGCAGTAAGCCCGTGCTTTCAAAAGTTATAGAAAAGCGATCCCTTTGTCTTTTTATGTTAAACGACTCCATAGGATGCCTATGGGTTTTATCGGTTGTAAGATAAAAAAGTATAACTTAGGAGTCCTGCTTTTGTTGTCGTCCCCGTCCCCCCCCGCTTAGATGTTACTCTTGAATTTTGAATTGCTGGTATGTTCCTCTTACATCAGAGCATGTTGCATTGGCGGTCCCACTGAAATGACCAAGTGTCACCTAAGTGGGGATTAATACAGCCGTAATACATCATTAGGCATTCATTATAACAGCGGTACTGAATAACAGAATCACAGATTTGGTACTGGTACTTACGCTGTTCGTGCTGTCTACCTAGACAACTCCTAATAATTTTTATTTTCTGTGACTATAAAAAAAGGAATATGAACCAATTATGATTTCCATCCCCTATAATGTAAATAAGATCGAGTGTGTCCTTTAAGGGTATGTGTAAGCTGGTTAATTTCATGAAGATGCATGTACTTTTAGGTGTAATAGCGACAATCCCTGCTGCTCTTCAAGCCAGGATGTGTGGGTTTGTCATAAACCAACATTACACTATGTATAGTTTTGATATCCTTGTAGTGTGGGCAGATACAAGCAAAGTTAAGCACTCTGAGTTCTCATTACATTTGTAGACAAGGATGCTTGCATTTCTTGAGGGTGGCTGAAATGCTTTGATTAAGGTCGTTTTAGTAAGATATGAAAAGTTGCTGTACAACTCTGCATATGGAATCTTTTGGTCACACCCTGAATATAATAGCTGTGGTGAACCCCTGAATTGTTAAATAACCAGAAGATATATTTAGGACAAATACTGGCCCAGAGATAACCAGGTTTCAGTTTTCACCAAACTCATCAATGGGAAGTTTCCGTATCTTTTCATTCCCTTATTATTATTATTTTTAAAAAGGATAGAAGAATCAGACCCATTGCTTGCTGATCATGTGCTCCTAAAAGCGGTTTAGTTCTGTTGTTTGAAAGGAGCTGGTCCTACTGAATTATAGTTGATAGTGAGTTGGCTGAGAGCTGCTAAAATGTTTTGTACCTTCTGATTGGAAGGAGGTACAAGTTCCACCTGGATCAGCATTGTTTAAAATAATTTGGTTCACAGCACTTGTCAAATAAAGAGGAATTTGCCTGGGCAATAAAGACATTAATTTATTCAGAGAGGGAAAAGGCTGTTAATGTACTAGAACAACACATTTAAGGACAGTGTCTCCCTTTATATCAGGGGTGGCCAAACTGTGGCTCGGGAGCCACATGCGGCTCTTTCACACATATTGTGTGTAAAGATGTAAAATTTCCGGAAATTTTGAAGCTCGGGAAAAGCCCCAGTTTTTGGTGGGAGAAACGGAAATTTTCGGAAAAATTGAAAAAAATGCTACATTAGCACTTCTTTTTTTCTTTTCCAGATTGAAAGTCATTCTGTTACATTAGGAACATACAATATGACTATGGACAATTTTACTTGGCATGAAATTATCACAACTAGCATATTAAAAATATACTGTATCCAAACAATTATTGTGGGTGGAATCATGTAGCTACATTAGTTTATCTTTATAACCTTTGTGACAATAGCACCTCCTAAGGGAAGAAATGCATCTTGTTCTTGCATTGGAGAGTTCAATTTGTAACCTAGGACTTGCTTCTTCTCAGTGCACAGAAATTAGATTAATCTGATACCATACATATTTTTTAGAAATGATTTGGAAATGAACACCTTGTCTTAAAATATTTTATTCATCATGTTAAAATAAAACATTCCATAACCATTTCTTTCTTTTCTTTTTTCATTTTTTCCAATTTTTCAGAAAAAAACAAAAAGGTTTCAGGAAAAAACCTGAAAAAAAACCAGTTCCCCCCCCCCATTTTTCCAGTTTTTCTCCGGGCCTTCACATCTCTAATTGTGTGGCTCCCGGCAGGGCAGCTGGGGAAGCGAAGGGGAGGGCATGCCTCCCCGATTGGTCTTCCCTTCCCCAGCCAGTCTTCCCCTTCCTGGGTAGGCTTGGGGGGGGAGTAAGAAAGGAACTTTAACTTTAAATGCGTTCTGAAAGCCCCCGCCCCAGCCTACAAATATAATTGGACAAATAAATATCATTATCAATATCTATTTTTACCCCTTTTGTTTTTCTTTTTGGCAGTCTCATTTAATAATAATAAAAAGCAAATTTTCATATTTTTCAATTTAAAACGTGTCTGTAATATTTGTTCGAGAGCCAGTTTGGTGTAGTGGTTAAGTGCGTGGACTCTAATCTGGGAGAACCGGGTTTGATTCCCCACTCCTCCACTTGCAGCTCCTGGATGACCTTCGGCCAGCCATAGTTCTGACAAGAGCTGTCCTTGAAAAAGAGCGGTTTCTGTCCGAGCTCTCTCAGCCCCACCTACCTCACAGGGTTGTCTGTTGTGGGGAGGTGAAGGGAAAGGAGATTGTAAGCCACTCTGAGACTCCGAGTGAAGGGTGGGGTATAAATCCAATCCCTCCTCTTCTTCTTCTTCTCTTCATGTCATGCGGCTCTCAAACATCTGACGTTTATTCTATGTGGCTCTTATATTAAGCAAGTTTGGCCACCTTTGCTTTATATGCTTTTTTTCAATGCCACACATTTCTTTTTATATTAAAAATTACTAATAAAACATAGTGAAATCTGGTGTCGGCTATTTGGTAAGTGTATATCTTATTTTTCAATTGCCAGCTCGAGATTATCCATGGGTGCTTAAGAATAAACGTCCGGAAAAGCTGCACGACGCGCTTAAGGAGCTAGAGGTACCTTTTCAGAAAGTTTCAGAGATTGTAACAATTAATCCAAGTGTTCAAACCTCTTTCAGCAGCTTTAATTTTCATAAAAGATCGTTCCTTCTGGTGATAAAATGTGCTTTTGTCTGGTGGGGCTGCCCAAAACAATTCAATCTTTGTTAAGGACGTCAGGGCGATCTCTCGTCCTTGAAAACCAGAAGCATTTTTAACTGCAAGTGAAGTGTACCCACCAACTAGGTGCCGCTGTTTTCTGTTGTCTTTCAGGAGCTGCTGCAAAGCAGGCAGTGCGTGCTGAGCAAATGGAAGAGCAAACACGTCTGTCAGGTAAAATGTTTCGCCATGCTCTTGTGAAGTTCACTCAACGGAGCTGAACAATTAAGCAATTGATGGAATGGTACCAAGTTAGCTTGTAGAGCAATGCAAAAGAAAAAGAAAGAAAGAAAGAAAGAAGTTCTGCAAAATGAGGAAGCGACAGCGCACAGAATCTTGTGCTCACATCTAAACTGAAGTGCTAAGTATATTCAGCAACTCTGAACTTTAGACATATAGGTAAAGGTTCCCTTGCTCGAAAGCCAGTCGAATCCAATTCTAGGGTTGCAGTGCTCATCTCCGTTTCAAAGCCGAAGAGCCAGCGCTGTCCGAAGACGTTTCCGTGGTCATGTGGCCGGCATGACTAAACACCAAGGCACACGGAACGCTGCTCCTTTCCCACCGAAGTGGTCCCTATTTATCTACTTGCAATTTCTTGCTTTCGAACTGCTAGGTTGGCAGGAGCTGGAACTAGAGACGGGAGCACACTCCGTCATGCGGCACACTCGGGTCTCAAACTGCTGAACTACTGACCTTCCACAGCCTGCAGTTCAGTGTCTTAACCACTTGAGCCACCACAGCTCCTTTAGACATATATGCTCTCTAAAAGTTCAGGGAACCGCAGAAGGCATTCATTAGATTTTATTTAGGTAAAGGTTTCCCTTGCTTGAAAGCCGGTCAGATCTGACTCTAGGGGCGCAGTGCTCATCTCCGTTTCCAAGCTGAAGATCCAGCGCTGACTGAAGACGTTTCATGTGGCCAGCACAACTAGACGCTGAGGCGCACGGAATGCTGTTACCTTCCCACCGAAGTGGTACCTATTGATCTACTTGCAATTTCTTGCTTTTGAACTGCTGGGTTGGCAGTAGCTGGGGCCAGAGACGGGAGCTCACTCCGTCATGCAGCACTCGGGTCTCGAACTCCCGAACTACTGACCTTCTGGTCTGCAGCTCAGCGTCTTAACCTCTGAGCCACCGCGGCCCCCTTCAGTTTTATACTCCAAGCCTTTTTAGTGTGCAGCACGGGGACAAGAATAGTAAAAGAACAACCTGGCTAGACGAGTTTTCAAATGAAGTAAAGTGCTCAGAGGCCATGGTAGCGTGTGTCTGTAGTTTATATCTACATAAATATCCATATAATGTATAAAGAAAACATCTGCTCACATCCTTGTTAGCAGGATGGGAAAGTGGGAACAGGTTGGCATCTTCCAGTGTGTGATCCAGTTCTAATCAACAGCTGCTTCTTCTTGAAATATGTTTAATGTATTTTAACTCATTAAAGCTTATTTCTAGCCCTTTATCTTTGATGTTGAACAAACATGGCCTTGAGCTTACTACAGCGTAGCCAAGAGTGTTGAATGCTGAAGCAGATCACTGATGTACAGCCTAACCCTCAGCCCTCAACCAATGGCATTCGTGCAAGTCCCATTTAAAAACTGGCTGAATTCTTTGATAACTGTAGCTGTACTTTGTGAAACTGAAATTTGCATTCACTTTTAATAATAATATGGGGTTACAGCAAAGCTCTGTTCAATATATTTAAAGTATTTATACTCCCAGCACATTGGCTCCTGAGGCAGCTCCTTATTCACAGCCACTTAAAACAGAATCAGTTAAAATAACCACAAAATGAACAGCAAGATTCGAAAGATTAAAATATCATACCACTATCATAAAGGATTAAGAGCAATTTTCAATTTGTTTACTTCATTTATCATCCACCTTTCTCACAGGGGGTCAGTAAAATCAGCAATCAAATAATCAGTAAAACCAGCAGCAACATGCAATAAAAATAACAGTAAAATCAGCATTAACTATAAAGCAGCAAGCTAAACAATTCGATAAAATCAGTAAAATGCCTGGGGAGAAATGGTTTCACCTGGAACCCAAAGGCTCATCAAGACTGGCCTCAGGCAAACAGTTATGAAAAGTTCCACAATTAATCAGTCTCTAGAACTGAATGAAGTAATCTTATATTCTAATTTCCAACAGAGGGCGCCATGTGCAGATACTTATTTCCACTAACAGGAAGCTCACTCTGCCCCAAAACCTTTTCCTACATAGTCAGTAGACTACCTTGTGTCTGCAGAAAAATCCAAAAAGTTAAAAAAATCCCTTCAGGGACCCCCCAATACCTTTTGAAATGGCCTCTGCAGGGATCTAACTCCAGGCATCAAAGGTGAGAGAGATTGGAACGTTCAGGG